TTTTTAATGTGGTGCTGAGGAATCGAACCCAGGGCTTTATGCATGCTAGGCCAGCGCTCTTCCACTGAGCCACCTTCCCAGCCCAGGGATGGATCTTTTTTGAGAGGAGAAGGGTACTGGGATTTGAGCTCAGGGTCTACTTTGTTTTTCTCCAGAAGTCCTCATATTTTGCCCACTGGCCTCAAACTGAGTTGCAATCCTCCTCTCCTGAGTAGTTTAGAGTAGAAGGTGAACAAACTTTATTTAGAAAGGCTTTAGTTGGCACCGCACCGTCACGGTAAGAGAACACTACAGCTTGCTTGTATCATGACATAAACTTGGGAATGAGGTAGGTAGGTTAGGTATTGGCTTCTTAAAACAAGGCCCAGAGAGGTTATGCCGTGTGTCTGGGGCCTGGTGGAGGGGCCGGCTCTGGCCTGTCCTCCGGTTGTCTGCCCCTCCCTGCTCCCCAGGTGCCCGGTGCTTCCACACCGCAAGGCTCTGCTCCTTCCAGGAACCTTGATGCAGAGCCGGAGCCCCGGGGACCGAGCTCAGGGAGGTGTGCTGGAGCAAGGGTGTGGCTGCTGCCATCCGAGGGGCAGATTCCCCCCTAGCAAGGGGCACCGGCGATCAGCAAGTTCACCAACAAGCCGATCAGCCGTCATATAGATACAACCTGGTGCTTACACGGATAGTATATGGGTCATTTGTCTGCTGTCAGGTTTTCTTTGTTTCCACCCAAGATTTCAGCCCCAAACAGCAGAACAGATTGAAAGCAGGGAGCCGCTGGGGCAGCGGGCAGCCTGGTGCAGAATCTCCCCCCGCACCCCCCACTCCTCTCTCCTTCAGGGGAGGACAGCAGTCCCGGGCTGACTGACGCGGGCAGGCGGTGTCTCCACGGCAGGGTGCCACCAGGCAAACCCTGAGATAAAAAGTCATAAATAGATCAGGAGTCTGAGCCCCAGCCAGCTTCGGTGTCCTTGGGCTGGAGGGCCCACAGGCCTGGTCCCAGGTGGGGGCCAAGGGTACAGAGCAGCTGCTGTGGAAATTTCCATGAGCTTCCACCCCCTCCAGGAGTCCCTGGGCACGAGGAGGACGTGGTTTACGAAAGAGGCAGAAGACATGGACCCTGCTGCTGGCCCCGGCCCCGGCCCCGGCGTCCTGCAGCGCCAGCCAGGAGCACAAAAGGACAAACAGGTCACAGAGCCTTACAGCAGCGCTGTGAATAAGGCCAGGTCACGCAGCTGCTGTACCCTCAGACCAGCTCCCCTCCCGTCGCCTTCCACTTGTTCAAATTAGATCAGCCCCTCTAAGGAAAACCTGTGGACGAGCACTTCCCCTACAACTGTCTCTACTCACAAAGAGATCCCAAACAGTATGTTCATTTCTAACAGGAAAAATGCTTGCAGCACCTAATATACAATCTATTATTCCCTGGAATACCCTTAGGAACTCCGGTTAAGTTACAAAATAATTAAAGGCATAAATCAATGAAAAGCCGGAAGAGGAGAGGGGGAAGGTGTCCGTGGGTGGTGGAGCACTTGCCTATCCTGTGCGTGACCTGGATTCACTCCAGAGCTGCCAAAAATTATTAGAAAATGCCAGTTCTGTGTCTTATCAATTGTTACCCGAAGCTTGAAGTCAGATGAGGGCTCGGGTCTTAGGAGCCTGTGCCATGCACTTGGGTATGAACAGATGCGCACTCCTGTCTAGAGTGCAGTTGTGCACATGCAGTACAGGTGTAGGTGTGTTGTGTGTGTATAGTATGACTGCGCTCCTGCGTGAGCATGCACGTGCATGCAGCATGAAGCACACAGCTCTGTTTAGGGAGCACTGAGGACTGAAGGGGGAGGAAGTGGGAAGTGAATGAATGCTTGCAGGCAGGATGCGGGAGTGTCTGGCAAATCGTGGCATCTCCAGCTCACTTCTGCCTCCCGAGCCGTGTCACGGGTTTCCCTAATGAGTCAACGTAGAATCAGGACCGGAGCTGACAATGCGCTGGGTGGGGTAGGAGTGTGGTGAAGAGGAGTGTGAAAGACTTTGGAAAGAACAAGATTGTGGACCTGTGTGTGTCTGTGGTGTTTTCCGGACAGAAACCCAGGGCCTTGGCATGCTAGGCAAGCACTGTGTCTCTGAGCCGCGTCCTGCAGACTTGGATTAACGTGTTTGTCTCAGGATGCTTTCACGGGTTATTCCCTGTGCTTTGCTGTATATAAAGTATGTCCTCCGTGAAGCCCTGAAGTGTGAGGGTGTGACGATGCACTGTGGCTTCATCCTTGTGCTATTGTGTGTTGGAATTACGCTGAAGGAGATGAGCTAATTTGAGGGGACTGGGACCAGCCCACACCTAATAAAGGGGCCCCGGAGCCTCTCCTGTGGGTTGGGAGCCTGGGTGGCAGCAGGATTAATCAGCTCTAATTGTGCAGTCAGCTAATTACCATCATCAGGAATCCTTTAAGTCACACAGCGGGAGGCTGGGGTGCTCCAGATGGGCCCCTCGCTCACATTGGGGATTTAGGACGGGATCCTCGGGGCTCTGCCAGGTGGCCCAGATGCTAGGCTGGAAAATGGGAAGCAAGAGCAAAAGAATCACAAGTGTTCAGGGGAGGGGGCTGGGGAAGGAGACGGGGACACTCACAGAACCCCAGGGGAAAGGTGGAGGACGTTCTAGTACTGTCTCATTTAAACGAGCAAGGCAGAGCGGAGGGCATGCGCGTCCGCCACGTGTGTGCAGGCCTGCCCGCCGCATACGCAAACCGACAAGGGACTTGAGCCGCGGCTGTGTTGATGTGGGGTGAGGCGGTGCGGGGGCTGGGCTGGAGCAGGCAGGAGACCACAGAGCTGGGGTACTTCACTTCTGGGGGGACAGGGTCATGGTGTTGGCCAGGCTGGCCTTGAACCTGCAGTCCTCCTGCCCCCCTTCGTGGATGCTGGAATTATAGGCTTGTACCACCATGTCTGGCCACAGCATTAAAAAAAAAGACAGATGAGTAATTAAGTGTGTGCTTTTCCTACTGAAAGAGGGAAACGTTTGCCAGAATGTTAGGGCCGACGTTTTAGGGCCAGGCGGAGGTCGGTCAGTGCAGCACTTCCCAGCGTCGGTTTGTTAAGGTGTAAGGAGAAGTTGGCGTGTGTGAGCAGTAGAATCAGGTCTTGTTTAGCAGGGCTGGATGGAGCCCAGCTGCTCACATCTGCTCATTTAAGTGCCGGCTACGTCCTCAGCCCAGGGACCTGCTAGAATTCTTGATGACTTCTACTCAGTGAGTAGAATTGTTAAGAGATGGATTTTAGTAGCTGGCCCTGTGGCTCGGCGGGCAGGTGGGGGCAGTGGGCGCTGCACCAAAGGGAACCAAAGACAATGCCGATATTAAGGCGGCACGGCGGCTGGAGCAGGAACAGGAACAGGGCAGCTGTACAGATGCCCTCAGGAAGGTAAAGCTCTTCCACCTTAAATCCAGCCGTAAACCAAAGAGTTGCAGCTGGACGACCCGTGTCCTCTCACACTACTCAGAAATAAGGGATGGAATTATCAACCTTTACTGTACTCTGCAACATGTGCAAATCCCACAGACCTGGTCTCTGAGGGTCAGCCTCGCCCACATGGCGGGCTCAGGTCAGAGTGAGAGGAAATGATAGAAAATAAAGGTCCTTAATTCAATTTACAAGTCTTTTCAATGTACGTATGGTAATTAGTACAATATTTTGCAGAGAACATGAAATGTCCTGCACTGTTGGAATTACTAAGTAACAGTAACTCAGACTATCACTTTAATGTTCATATTATATGACGAGTTATGCTTTGTCTTCAGTGCAGCTGTGCGTTTACCTACTTAACCCCTAACAGTGGTTAGTGGTACAGAGAGGAAACTGAGTCACAGAAAGTTTGGATAGTTCAGGACCATAGTTAGAAATAGGCAGAGCTGGTGTTCTAGCCAGGCTTCTGGCTCTCTGTTCATGTTCTTACTTGTTTTATGTGTGTTGTTACTGGAGCTTGAACTCAGGACCTCATGTTATTACTTTGCTTTTTAGCCTAGGCTGGTGTTCTTCCACTTAAGCCACACATCCCGTTCCTCATCTTTTTGAGTGCTCATTGCCAGTGGCTGTTGCCAGGTGCTGGGCTTCTAGTGGGGGACATACCCCCAGTGTCTGTGCTCACTGGTGCTCCATTTGGATACTAACTGAACACAACACAGCAGGTAATAAGAAGTACTAAGAAGAAAAACACAAAGCAAAGGCCAGGTATGGTGGCTCATGTCTGTAATCTCGGCTACTCAGGAGAGAGAGAATGGGAGAAATACAGTTCAGGCCAGCCTGGCAAAAAGTCAGATCCCGTCTCAGCTGAGCAGTGTGGCACACACCTGCAACCCTAGCTGCAGCTCAGCGACCGGGAGGCAGAGGTGAAGAACTGCAGCCCCAACCTGGCCAGGGTAAAACTGCAAGACCTTCTCCATTCATCATCAAAGCAGAAAACGGACTGGGGACATGGCTCTCGAGTGGTCGAGGACTTGCCTGGCGAGCACAAGGCTTTGAGTTCAAACTCCAAAACACAAAAAAGAAAAATAACGCAAGATGAGGCAGGAAGGCTGTGAGCGGGCGGTGGAGCCAGGCTGGCCGGGGTGGGGCGGGGCGCCTCGGAGCGGGGCCTGAGTGGGCAAGAGCAGAGCTGAGACTTGCTGAGGCAGAGGCACTGGCTTTGATGCCGAGGGGGCTGTGGGCTTAGCATCCACATAACCTGCCTCTCGCTTTACAGGAAGCAACAAAGGACCACTGTGGGAGACGTGGGAGTGGGGGAGGGGCCGCTGGCTGCTGAAGGACACGGGTGCAGGTGAGCACAGGCGAGATGATGCCGGCCTGGCCCGGGCTGCCGTCGGCTGATTCAGCAGTGTTTGAAGATGGAAGAATTTACGCCATCTTCCGTGTGCAGCTGACGTGAGGCAGACAAAGAGGCTTGGAAGGAAGAAGCGCTGCTTCTAAGAGGGAGAAGCAGGGACGAGGCAAACGACGGCGGTGGAAGTAGGGAGATGTCGGCAGACATGAAGAACAACCGACTTGGAAAGCCCGTGAGGAGCCTGCGGAGGACAGCTCTGCCACCGAACAGGGGCTTCAACAGGGAGGTGTGCGGCGTGACGTGGCCCCAGCGGCCGTGGGAGGCCTTGGGACACGGCCATGGAGGGGCAGCTGGAGCTGAAACGCTGCAATTGTGAATCATCTCTGTTTGCATCTACCAGCTTCCTGGAAAACCTTGCTTGCAAAGCTTTCTGTGTCAGATCTGACTTCTGTTCCCCTATTGTGAAAAGCCTTTTTCCCCAGAGGACGTTTGTGGAAAAACAAAAAAAAAACCCAAACCAGTGCAGGCGTGTGCAGTGACTTAGGGGAGTGGGTAGGTAGTTGGGTAATTAGACTAAGTTGGGTGCCAGGCAATGAAATGTGTGCACATCCCTGGACTCCAGAGGGCTGGGCCTGGCTCAAGGAAGAGCAGAGAAGGCCCTTGATTTTCACCTTCCAGTGACCTGGAGACTGGCAAGTTGGACGATGGGTTGAGGCAGCCTGTTGGCTGCCCAGCTGGAGCCAACAGCACCCACAGCCCCTTGGCAGAGAACAGGGGACCAACTGGCTCCAGCACCTGAGGAAATTGTGTCTTCAGCTAACAAGCAAATCCAGTAGAGCTCAGAGGTCACAGACAGCAACAAAACATGCCTCACGCACTGACTTAGAAAAGCCTCTAAACAAACAATAAAAGTCAGAAAGAAGCAACAACCACAGGCAAAAAGCTGATTTCCAAAGATGCCACACTGTTAGTTTAAATACAGTTTTCAACAAAAGCAGCAACAAAGGCAGAAGAAAGTACAATCCCCACAACAGGGCAAAAAGGACACTGAACTAGACAAGACTTTAAATCACGGGGTTGGGAAGGTGGCTCAGTGGTAGAGCGCTTGCCTTGCATGCCTGAGGCCCTGGGTTCGATTCCTCAGCACCACATAAGCAAAAAGAAAAAAAAAGCCGGAAGTGGCGCTGTGGCTCAAGTGGTAGAGCGCCTAGCCTTGAGCTGAAGAGCTGATGGACAGCGCCCAGGCCCAGAGTTCAGGCCCCATGACTGGACCCAAAAAAAAAAAATTAAATCACATTTCAAATATATCCACAGAGCTAACTGAACCAAAATAGAATGTCAAATCCAATGCTCAGCTCTCAGCTTCCCAAGTAACTAGGATTATAAGCATGGGTCCTAGCTTTGAATTTTTTATTTTCTCCTTTAAAAAAAAAAAGAACCAAAATTATAAAAGGGCTAATGGGCGTATAAAGAGGACTAAAATGTAACTATGGCAACAATAGTACAAAGAGTAGAGAATGGAACCGCATGGAAGCAAAGGTTTTGAAAATCTATATTGATATTTAGTAGTAATCCGAACTAGAATGTTAGTCCCCAAACGATCCACAAGAAAGAGAGGCGGAGAGCTACGCCGCCTGCCACGCGTGAGAGCCGCCCTTGGCTAGCGTGCGGTCTGTGAGCAGCTTCAGGGCTGCGGTGGGGGAAGCCTGTGTGTTGGCCAGCTTTCCAGTGCTTTCCAAGATGATCAACTTACAAGCGGGTGAAGGTGGTTCTCCTCGCGTTGGAGGTTTCAGTCGCTGGTTGGTGTGTTTGGGGTTGTGATGAGGAGGCCGCCACGGCTGCTAGGGCTGGGGGGTCATCGCCCGCCCCCCGCAGCTGGGTGCGGACAGGAAGTGGGTCCCAGCGCCCTTCGCGGACACGCCCCCTGGGGTGCGGACAGGAAGTGGGTCCCAGCGCCCTTCGCGGACACGCCCCCTGGGGTGCGGACAGGAAGTGGGTCCCAGTGCCCTTCGCGGACACGCCCCCTGGGGTGCGGACAGGAAGTGGGTCCCAGTGCCCTTCGCGGACACGCCCCCAACGACTAGACTTCATCCTCCCAGGCCACACCTCCTACTCTCTTCCTTAACGTGCAGGCCTCGGGTGACATCGCTGCACAACCCAGAGCTCTCCACACCGGCCCACAGCCCGCCCACACCCCGTCCACGGCCCACTCACAGCCACATCCCCACCCACGGCCCCGCCCACGGCCCACTCACAGCCACATCCCCATCCACAGCCCCGCCCACACCCATCCACGGCCCACTCACAGCCACATCCCCGCCCACGGCCCACTCACAGCCACATCCCCACCCACGGCCCCGCCCACGGCCCACTCACAGCCACATCCCCACCCACGGCCCCGCCCACGGC